TTACGCTTAATTATTCATTGGCTCGTTGTAGAACGAAATGAAATAAACATTTTAATTACTTTTGATACTCCGATTCGGGACATTTTCAAATTAAATTAAAAAAACTCACATTTAAAAATAAAAACATACGCGCCAGGGTGTTTTTACGATAAATTACCGTACTCAATCTACTTATTATCCTAAGTTGTAGTCAATGACCTATTTTCCAATAAAAGATACCGTTCCCATGATTCAAAAATACGTTAACCAATCTTTTATTTCTTTTTTAATTAACGGCAAAGGGCTCAAAAATCCTGACAATTCAGAAATCAATTCCGTATTATCTGAAGCACGTTAAAGCATATTTTATTGACAGGCCATCAAGCTAAAAAAAATCGGATCGAAGAACATAAATAGGGCAACTTCCAGAACGAGTTTTATCTTCTGCTTGCTTCGGGCAGCGTTCAGCAGCGCTTCTAAAATTGTGTTGATCATTTTCGACATGCGGATGCGATAATAGAGCCGAAGCTAAATTGCCTTTGAAATGATTTGTTATGGAAGTGCTGCAAATAACAGTATGCCGGTCTTTCTTGAAAAATAAGTCCAACTAACTAACTAATTTCAAATACAAAAGTCTAAGAGTTTTATTTATTTCTTTAAATTTAATTTGCTAGTGTGTGCTAGCTTTTGTTGCTAGTTTTGGTGCATTGAATATTTTTTAAGGACCGTTGAATTTAAGTCATTAATATTATACTTATGTTTTTTATTACGTTTTAAAGCACCAAAATACATGCATTATGCAACTAAAATGAGACAAATTTGAGTTAACCTGATAGAGAGATATAACCACAATATACGCAAAATAGCTTATGTTCAAACACATCAAAGTTTAATTGTGGAATCGTTCGTTAAATTCCATTGAATTATGCTTAATTACTATCCGAACAGGCATATGTCATAAAGTTCCGCGAGTTCCATTGCCTGTGTGATCTACATTCGGGATTACGTACAGATCTATTAGAGAATAGTCAAAAATGTACATTATCCAACTGGTAATTTGCATTTACTACGCCTTTATTCGAGCAATTAACAAGCTCCTATTTCAGTGTGTCATTTGGAAATGCTAGCGCTTCGTGAGTTAAATGGTCGCAATAAATGTGATATTTTGAAAAATCTGACTTAATTGACGATAAATCTTTAGTATTTCAGTGGATTTATGTAGCCCAGTGTTTACAATTTTCTCATCAAAACGGCAAAAAATTATATAGACTTTTCAACGGAGGTAAATTAATAAAAATTATTT